TTGGGGTTTTTGTCCAAATTGCCCATTTATGATTGTCCGTTAATTCGAGGGCCTTGTTTGGGTTAGCTTGGAGTGTGATTGTGTATTGCTTAATTTGTTCCTTTACAAATTATGTTATTAAGAAATTTATTTGAAAACTTGCTTCAACTACTATCAATATTGCAGTAATAGTTGTAACTAAGCCTAGTTATCAACCAGGAACTATTCTAATAAGACCTACGTAACATGTCCTAATGTATGAAAAGTATTACCTAACCTTACAAGTTCGTAACCTAAGGAATCATACTCTACAGCAGAATAATTTTAAGACTTGCTCTTGCTCACATCACTTTCAAAAATATACAGTACTTCTTTTTACCAAACTACATCTTAAAATGGCATTTCGAATTACGCATTATTAGTCACAAGCAACTCATTGTTCATTATTCTCATTTCAATATAGATAAAGGCAATTTTTAAGCCAGCAAGGATATCTGGGTCTGCAAGGGAGCGAGGCTTGTGTGGGCTGTACCTAATGGCCGACAGATGGCGAATGACATCAGTGTCGTTTTCTCCAAATTGAATAATCTTGGCGGTTTTCGAAAATGATATCATTACTTACTCTTTGGCTAATTTATTAATAAATTTTGCATTGAGTTTTTTATCGAAGGACCAGTGCTGCAGTGATTGTCCTTTTGAATATTTATTGCAGTATTGTGTTCATCATATGGGACTCTTTCTTCGACGTCTTTTAATATGCATAGTGCTTCAACATCAAGCACACTTTTCCCACATGTTTATTCTACAACTTCCAAACTTTTTAAGGGGAAACCATCACCATTTTGTAATTTGGCAAACATCAGTAAGAGCCTACGAGTCCGCAAACGTCTCAACAACACATTTCTTTGTTATTAAGGAAATAATCATTTTTCCAGTTGGGATGAAGACATCGGCGCCCCGCCGCCTCCGCAGCGCTGTATCAAAGCGCAGCAGGTAGCGCCTATTATTTCTATTCAGCGGAAAAAAGATTAAAACAACCTCCTTTGTAATCTATAGGCACAGGTGGAAATACGAAAATTAAAAAAGGAACGCGATTTCGTTCGAATTTATGCCTTGTCGGACCGCGCCTTTGTTTTTTAATTTTTACGCAGACAACGCGTATAAGGCATGAAGATGTTATTCTTATAAAGGGAATAATTACGGTGAGCGGCAATGACAATAAATTACACGGGGTTTTACGACTAATTTATTAATAGAAATTTCGCGAGGCTTAGGTCTGTCGTAAATAAGTTACCGCGTTGCAGCCAATGGATGGCAGTAAAATCCGTCTTTGCGTGCAGATTGGCCGGCGGCTGGCCAATGGCGCGCGTTCCAGATTTGAAAGCGGCGGTTTACGAGCGACAGGCGGCGTCTTTTTACTGTTTTGGCGCCAAAATTGACAGGTTTAGGTCCGACTTTTGGTAATTTTAGCTGCAGTTGGTATTTTGCCGGGAAAGCACTTTGGGCTATTTCAATTTGTCGGACGACGGCCGTTATGCTCAGCACTTACTTGTTTGTGGCCCCATCTTCTACTATCCACTAACTTAACAAACTTCGATTTTACTATAAAACCACTAAATGTTCGTTTCAAACATGATTTCGCTTGATATATGTCTGTGTCGTTTACTTTACCAAAGCTCTTTATGATGCTCTTTTGTCATTTATTCAATTCCTCGTCATCATCATCAAATCAATTAGTTTCCACTACAGGAATATGAACTCTATTTACCAGAGTCAAAAGTAAGATTAAGATTTGGCTTACACTCCCCACCATATCCAAACCGTTTCTTTTCATTTTCAACTCCTCAATACCTTTAAGCTCAAGCTCATCTTAGGAGCTACCTACATCTAAAGGCATCTACTCTATGGCTACTTAATTCACCAATGGAGCCTGGTCAATATATTAACAATAACCCATTCATTAATTACCGGTTATCAGCAATTTCGCGCCAATCTCTGGCGTTTGATTGGCCGCCTAATTAACCAAATGAACCGACGGTAAGCATGTGCCTGCCTATACTAATAAGCTAAGTTCCTGACTTTCACTGGATAGACCTGTATTCATAAGCTGGTTCTAACATTGAGGATCTACTAGTAGCTTACTTATTGCAATATCTACATGTTTCTTTCTATTTAGGCGTAGTTTTAAGTAGCTTATTAAAATTCTAAAAAGTTGTACAATTTTTAATTTATAAATGTTACTGTAAAAGCTCGAATTGCAGTAAATCCTAAGATATTCCAGTAAAACCTAAGATCTACCAATTTCTAATGGTAAATGTCCCAAAAGGTTTGCGATTCGAACTCTTACCACCATTTCGTTAGTAAATCTTAGGATTTACATTAATGGCACGGTAAATGTTGAAAAACAAAACATGTCATAACGTGCTCAGCGCATCTCATCATCATCATCATCATCAGAAATTACTTCAATTGGAAAAAATCGAATCTATCTTAATATTGAAGTTGCCCTCTTTGTATTTCTAGTCGCTCACTTAGTAATGTAGTCGCACGGACAGAATTTTAATATCTAAAATGGATTAAACATAACCCACTTTTTGTAAGCTCGTTCTGCATTTGATTATATTAATCAATATTCGTCGTTAGTTAAGTTAATTTTTCGCTTACTCAAATAAGTTATTAAAACAGTAAGTATGCCATCATCAGTCGCTAAGTTATTTTTTAGTCGATCGTTTTATAATTCTCCATTAAGAATTACTCATTGTTTTATTCCTAAAACCAACATCTACCAGCTGACAGAGGTAAAACCTAGCATATACTGAATTCGAATGGTAAAAGCTCGAAAAAATCGTCGTATTTTCAGAAATACTTACATTTACCAACTCATGTCGGTAAATCCTAAGACTTACACTTAAATCTTAAGATTAACCGTAGTTCGAGCTTTTACAGTAACATAAATAAAGGAATTCCTCATACGCTTTTTTCCAAATTTTTAATTACCTACGTGTGATCGGACCTCGTTAATTAAAAGCAAATCGCTTTTAATCCATCCAAGCAGATATGTATTAGTATTTCCCATTACATTTTAAGGTTCTCAAACCCCTATTACTGCAAGTTGTGTCCCAAAATAAGCCTAAGACGCATCAAACAAGTTGTATGTCCATAAAAAAGTTTCATAAGTTATGAGATACATATGACCAATTTTAGTTTTTATGTCCATAATTTTGGGACAGCCTGTACGCAACTACGCACTAGTATGCTCCTATTCCTCAAAGCTAGGATCGCTTTACAGCCGCGGGACGTATTTTAAAAGCGACTTAATTAACAAGATTTATGGAACAATCTCGTTTGCTATAGTTATACTAAGCTGCGTCTAGCCCACGATTTACTATGGTATAAAGCTGTCGGACAGACAGACAGACAGACGCTAATGAACATGCGCAAACGCTACCTTTTGTTATGAGATTTAGGTCTGACGACGTCACGTGAGCGTGGCGTGACGTAAACATATTGAAAAATTACGTACAATTTGATAATTTTCGCCTTGTACAGGGTCAAGAAAGTCACACTCTACGCATAAAAAAGGAATGAAGACAAGATATAATTTTTGGTAAAATCAATTCTATGACTGATCGATCATATTTCTTCGATCGTAAGTATCTCTAAAGAAACTTCTTTCTTTCCTTTTATATTAAAACCGACTCTACATTAGACTACAGATTTTTGTTGTAAAATACCACCTATTGCAAGGTCATAAGATTCACAGTAACTTAGCTTGAGCTACTATCTTATCATATTTACAAAAAACAAATCTAAGTTTCAAAATTACAGGTAGATGGTAGTAACTGGATCCAAAGATCTTGAGAATGAACTTTCTTTTTTTCCAGTTTCAATTATCGAAATTTCTATTCATCCAGCCTAAGCAACCATTAAAAACAACCATGTCCCATCCATCCGGCTTAGCACAAATCACTCCACATTCATTAATACCAGTCATAACCAGAGATAAGTGCCTCCCCATAGACCATAGACAACCGCCGACCAGGCATTGTCACGTCACATGCTCGTGACGAACGCGTGACGGATCGCGACCCCTAAATCCCCGGCCTCCCCTTTATTACGTCTTATTTCTGTTATTGCTAACATACATGTTTTATTCATACCGTTGTTCATATGCTACGTTACCAATTTCTAACATTTTCCTTATTACCTACTAGCAACATCGGCTGTGGTAGGCTATAAAATGTATCAAACGAAATATGCACATTTTTATTAATTGAATCGCCTATTAGTACAAAACAATGTTTGCTGTACTAAAATGTTTCAAGCTTTTTAGATGGAAAGACCGATTTAGTTGTAAAATCTGTTTTCGTGAGAAATATTGTTTCATTAATTTGGGCAGATTTTCAATTAGTTCGAATCGGTTTGCACTAATGTTTACAAATTCAACATAGGTGTACATTGATAAATTGCTCAAAACACCAATAAATTTTAAAAATACACTTGTTCTTGTGTAATTTGTGAAAGAACTTAAAGCTCTTGTAAAAACATTGTGAAAATCGAATTGGAAATTCTTAGCTGTCAATAACGTTCAGCGTGCGGCGTTAAAAAATAAACACATCTAAGTCGCCAATTATACTAACCCCAGTTGTTCTCAACCGCCATTTATCCCCGACATCCTTCAAACGTCAATGGCAGACGATAAAATATAAATAAAATATCAAGATTGTCGCGGGGCTCCCGGGCGATAGATTAGAGCGCGGGGCGCCGTAAAGAAACAATTTCCCGAGTTCCCCGCCAGGGGGCGCCGCAGCGGCTTATAGAATCCGCCGACATGATAAAAACCCCAAGTTATTCCCTAAATCCCCCACCAACTTTACGGTGATTTCTCCCAAAAAAAACCACCAGATAATTTCAAACAGAACATTTTTATTGTTTAATCCGTTCAGAAAATTAAATTATAAAATTAATCACATTGACATACAGGATGGACGTACACCAAATAGCATTATTATACATTTACGAGTTAGATTTAAGAAATTAAGTCTCCAGACTACTACCGCAACGTACACTAGACCTAACTTAAGTGATCAACTACACAAATTTTATTGTTAAAACTCATATACAGACAAAAATAACTAATTTTAGTATAATAAAATATTGTCCTGCGCGGACAGTAGCGAAGCTCCGCGGACACATGGCTCATTTTAACAAAATGGGAAATAATAATATATAACACAAACAAAACAATTCAGTCTCAACGCCCAAAAATATCCTTAAAATTATCAAACAATCGAACTGAAAGGAATCGTCCGGCGGTGTGCTGCCGGGAACAACATGCAATGTACAAAAATACAGCAATAAACGTAATTATCTTATCCATCTAGTTATAAAGAGGAGAAAGGGGAATCGTGGAACACAATCAACGCCACCGCTAAATATCTGTGAAGCAACTATATCCTATCGGAACGCACATACATATATTTATAGAGTCCGTGGACATTACACCTAGCGTATACTTGCATACGTATTTTTGTTTTCACTAACTAAACCGTATTCTTGTGCTTCTATCGTTTAGTAAACGTAATAGATCAGAATATCAACTATGTACGTATATTATGTTGTATTATTTACTAGCCAAAACAATAACACTCTAGCATCTACCACCGTAAATCAATTACAATAATTTAAAATTCTTAAGTAAACCTTATTATCTCACTTAGGCAAGTTAAAGTTGTATTTTTACGTATACTTCGTTTTCGAATAGTTTTTTCAAATACATCTAATTAGTTAGTTTTTATTTAATCTAAGCTCGGAACGCGTAGCTAAGTATGGCGTTGGATTGGGTTTGCCTGTCAGCGGCTCCAGTTAAAATTACTCTAACGTTATTAGTATACACATATTACAATCAACGTTATACGTATGTTTTTTTTTTATATTTTTCAATCGTATACATGAATTCCGGTGCAAAACAAACGAATATCGGCGCAAATATCATGCGAGAGTGGTTGCTACCACCGCACCCAGTGTACCCCTTCACTGTCAAGGTTTTAAGGTTCGAATAGTATCGGAACAGTGCAAGAGGTTGGCCAATTGCAAAAACGAAGATTTGTAAGGGAAGGCGCGGCCTCGAGGGGGGTACCCTCGAGGCTGCGTTACAAAAAAGCATTAGGAGGAAATTGGGACTAAATTGCGAGCACCCCCTTTGTGTACTTCGTTTTTGCAATGGCCAGACTAAGAGCAGGGGTGGACGAGGTAGCTCGTGGTTGAGTTGGGTGCAAGCTGGGGATCGCGCCTTTGTATGAGATGGGTTTTGGTGTAGGGGGTACTCACGACGTCGGGGGTGCTGGCTCCGTCGTGCGACGAGTCGGGCGCGGAGCGAGGCTCGCCGTTGGCGTCGGGCGGCCGCGCCGACTCCCGCTCGTCGATCACCAGGTCGATGGGCATCTTGCCCTTCAGGCAGCTGATGTAGCGGTGGCAGAAGTTGTCGCACAGCTCGTGTACCTGCCACATATCAGCCGTTGTAGTGTCTGCTCTAACTTCTGATACTAGTACTGTTAAGAACCTACTCCTAGAAACTATTTTGGTAATACAACTCAAGGTAGTCAATATTAGATTTCTAATTTTTCTTACTGGAAAACTTTTAATTATTTTGCTCAAAGTTAAGTTTTTTTTATTACTATTATCATTGTCTTTTATTCTGATAGTGACTAGTATCGTTTGACCCCGGTCTCCTCTGGCCTTTGCATCATCAGTTTTTAGGTACAAAAACACCTTAAAAAGCAAATGGTTATCGAAAACCTATTGCAATCGCTGAGAAAATTATATTCTAGAAAAAATCCTTTATGTCAACATAAATCATCCTGAAAAATATTCTGAAAACATGAAAACTTAACGTTTACAACATTGATGTGTGAATTTGGTTTTTTACAACAACGTTAATTGACAATTTAACAAATTCAACATTTCCTCGAAAGATCCAAACACACATTAACATTGTAAACGTTAAGTTAACAACACACTTTAGTTCACAACCGAAACCTAACACTTGTGACGAACGAACTAATAAAAAAGAATCAGAGTCACAACACCTAACTGTCAGGCTGGGCCCGATCACAAACAAAGGGAATACATTCGGACACAACTGGCACTCAAAAAACTCAAAATGAATCGTAAAAACGGCACGAAACTCACATTTTTTACGTTTCATCCGATAAAATACGGCCCCCGGTGGGCCTGTATTAATTTTGTGCGTCGGCCTTATAAATTTTCATAGGCATAATTAGCTTAGAAATTAACATAAGGCAATAAAAAGACTAACGAAATTTTTAGACTGAATTTACACCGAGAAATGTTATAAACTGGCAGGTGGAGGGTAGAGAAAAAAAACGCTCCGATTTGAAAATAGAACAGCGGAAGCGGAAACGCCGTTGACAGCTAATTATGTCTTCGATACTAATTCGTAATCGACAGCTTTTTGGTCGCACGCGCCGAATACTATTTGTTTATCATAATTTGAATTTTACAACCGACTGTTGAAATTCATATTTACGACTGTGAATTTTATTGACACTAGCACGTAAACGCACCGCTTGGCGGTTTCCGAGCATTGCTGTCAATGTCAGATCATGATTGAGAGTGCTTTTATAAGCTCACGAATGACAGAGTAAACACACTGGCTGGAATAAAACTCGCTCTAATCCTCTGTGACGCCGATACTATTTTCGATTTTAGTGACAGCCGCTAAGATTTGACATCGTAACTCTTGGGGATTCAAATTTGGAACTGTCTCCGCACTAAATCGGTAAGGGCGTAATCCTGATACGACAACTTAAACCTTGAAAACTTGTAAGAAGAGTTATTATCGTTTGAAAAACATCCCTTTGATACAACGTTGTTTAGTTAAAATGTAATGCCTTTAATGAGATATTACGGCATTCCGAGTCGGGTTCGGGGCGATTATCGTTCCGAACATCAAACTCTTTCCAGAAATTTAAATTTGGAATGAGAGACTCACGGATTGAGATATGGAGTGTTTCTGAACGAATACTTTTTATTTAAACTCGGAATGAAATGTGATATAATGGCGGTTCGTTGACGTATAGACGTTCCCTATTCGATTGGCTGTCATTCTTTTGGATTTGGAGTTTGGTCGTGATTTAAAAATACAACGAACAGTGTTCGATTTATGTTTCGTTTTTGTTTTAGACTTTAGTGCTTTGTGCACGTTGGCAGTATTATAATGGCCCGTTGTAACTTTGGATTCCATCATGTTTTTAAATAAAGAGCCATTGGGGATTTAATTGAATTTATTGATGGACCACAACTCGCTCTAAACATGTTTATTATCAGAGGTAATAAACCTTCAATAGCGCAATCAGTTTATTAATACGGGTCATAATGTTTTGAAAGTTTTTGGTCGGTAGTGAGGCAGTTGCCAATGCGTGGGCGACTGTCGCAAGTCGGAATCTCGACTAAAAGGGTTTTTCTCATCGCCACTCAGACTAGCCGTGGGAGTAGCTGCGTAAATTGGAACGTTTATTCATTACTAAACGGATTAAATCAATCTTGTGAACTGCCAAGAAAGTGATATTTTAAACCTCATTATACATTAACTAATCCACTTCGAGTTAAAAGTAAATTTCTTTGATAGTTTTAAAAGCCAGTATTACCATGCAAATTCATATAAGTTATACGTGGTATCCTTCCGTTTGGCCAAATTACTTTTCGCCAAATTTCACTTCGCAAACAACTTATCGCCAAAGTTTCATTTCCCAAATAAACTTTTAGCAACTGTACTTTTCGCAACTAATTCATTTGGTCAAATTAACATTTGGCCAAATTTTACTTGGCAAATGTTTATATAGCAAATGTTTTATTTTGCCAAATATTATATCCCAAATAATTTGCTTGGTCAAATTGACACTTTACATACTTACGAGTACCCACCGTTACCCACAAATCAGAGATTGCAGAAAATAGTATGGTTGCAAAAAGTAGGTAGGTATTGTAGAAAATAGTAGGTTAGGTTAGGTTAGAACAGTGACCCTTAATGCGCGAAGGCGAGCGAAGCGTGCCGCGGCAGCGGCCGCCGAGCGCTAGAATCATCTGAATCATGAAATTTCGATAAAAAGAATGAAATATGAAAATTTATTTAGAAAAAATTGTATATTAACTACCCACTAAACAAAATAATAACCACATGCTAATTTGTATTCCATTCTATGCACCAATCGAATTGTTTTGTAAATAGTTTATCGTGAAATATTTTTGTCAAATGAAACATTTGGCAAAACATACTTTGCCAAACAATAATTTGCTAAACAATAATATGCCAAAAACGACATTTGCGAATTAAAAGTTTGCAATAAGTTGTTTTGCCAAATGAGAATTTGCCAAATGAAAATTTGCGGAACGTTGTTTGCGATGTGATAATTTGGGAAACGTTTTTTGGCCAAACATTAGTAATCCGTTATACGTATCTACATTTGGCCGACATTTCTGATCGGTGAACAGGGCCGGATTCTTTCTCTCCCTTTTTTATTTTTCATTTGAATAAAAAATCAACCGGTCGAGCCCACATTCAAATGAGAACTCGATTGGTTCTCACCTCACTCGAACTCCGTAATTTTATTTATAAAACCGCCTATTTCTGCGGTCCACTTCTTAATTAAGGCTTAATTAGAAGTGTTAGTTTTCCAAACGCGTGTCGCGTAACGAAATATACGTACTAATTCAATATTCCAGTTGTATAAAGGTTGTAAAAACGGGCGTCATAAACGCGGGTCCCAAGTTCGAGCCCCGGCCCGTAAACCAACAAATCTGACCTACATCGTAAATCACTTAGCCACGTTGTTACAGATAACGTTTACGAGTTAGAAACAAAATATGAAAAAAACACATAACACGAGTCAGCTTTTGGATTTGTTGCTTTTTAATAACGGCTTTTTATAATGGCTACCGACGTTGCGTACACAAAGGATGAAATAACGCAATTTTGAATGCTTCCATTTATGAAAATAACTTGAAATATTAAGTTCCAAAAGTAAAATTGGTGATTACATCGAATAAAGAATCAGAATGTCACTGGCCACATTTAATATTTGATAAAAAAAGAAACTTTAAACTAAATCATGGCCACTGGCCGTTGAATAAGAATTTTGAAAAACGAACAGAACGTTAGTTACCGTCCACTTTGAATGTTCCAGTTTTTGAAAAAGGAACAAAGTTGGCCATTCAATATGAAGCACCTACATTACCACAGGAATCCAATCCATAATTAGGGAATCGGTGACCATATAAAAAACCTGCTGGCCGACCAATCGCAGCGATCCGAAGGACTTCGATACGGGAGTGAGGTAATGCGTTCGCCCGCCGGCCATATTTAAAATATTAAAAGCATAAATCAAAAACCTTATTGGGTATTTTAATGTAAATACGGTCGGCTAGGATACCAACACGTTCAATAATATCGAGTCTTCCCTTCACTAAATCGATCATTACTTTAGAGCGGCTATAGAAATAGCTTTAAAGAACTCCCTTGAAGCTTTTTTCTAAAAACACAGCAATTATATTAAAAAAGCGAAAAAACTGTACTTAACAAGATCTTATTGAGCTCGACTGGTGGTATTTTTTATTTTTAATTATTATAAAGTAGAAAAAACATCACCTGTGAATAGTGTGTAGTGAAGCGGAAATGGATCGGAGTAACGGTGTTTTTAACCGCTCTTATTCGACAAAAACCGTAGACAAGATAGGAACGGACGCGTATAGGATGCGAACAAAAAAACTTTTCGATTTTCGATATGTGGACAGGTAGATGGATGCAAAAAGTCAAAGCTTAAACTCTTTCCATGTCAGACGACTATTCTTATTTGTATAATCTTTGACAATTTGCATTGATCATTGTCAATCTCTTCATACGCATTAAAGGGATGAAATAATGTATTCAACACACAATCTTCAATAAAAAATGTTATTTTAAGAAAATTGGCACACTCTACATGGGAAAGGAGAGCCAGCGAGGCCTCCAGGCCTGTAATTCCATTATAAATCAATGGCCAACAAATTAAAACCGTCTTGAATTCGTGCGTTTGATTGTAATAATATAATAATATCATTACGGCGGCCCGGGGCCGATGTTTCGAACTTGGAGCGTCATTTTCCTTTTTTAACTGCCTTTATCTCGCCCTCCGGCCGGGATTCGTACACCGGGATCGCATTTCACTTTATCTCGTTACCGCTTTTTGTAATGCCCTCTACTTTTTTTACCGGTACTCACCGAATTTACCGGTTCCTAACACATGCGATCGACGCCCGGATATTTTTATGGAATCCGCTTCGAGACAGCTAAGGTATCTCGTTTCTCGAGATCGTTCCTCTCGATATAGACGTTAGTCAAACTAGTTTCGTTGAAACGTGACCATAATATTGACAAGTTAAATTAATTCTTCGAGCGACACGGCCGGCTCGTAAAAAACATCGGAGATTTGAATTTTATGCCGCTAATTAATACGACTGCGCGCAAATTGTGCGATTTGACGGCGGACGGCAAAAAGCGTCGTCCCGGAGTCCCGTTAGCGGAGCGTCCGCGCATAATGGCGCGGCGAGAACCGGACCGGTCCCGCTCCCAAATGGAGATAAACCAAAAACAAACATTCGGAAACCAAACGCGCCCCATTCACGGCGAAACACCTGATCGCGTCCAAATCAGAAATAGTTTTCGAAATTTGAAATTCGAACGCGAGGTGTCGCCCGACCGGTCCGCGCATCAATATCCCGATTCCGAATCGAGTCCTCCGATAATCGGGACGCTGTTATGTGATATTTACTAAACCGGTTGTGTCCGAATGTATTCGACCGACTGAAAACGATAACTTAAAAAGTTGTACTTACTTTTTCTAATTCTAATAGGTGAAACCGTAGCACTTGTATCGCTTGCACCATCTGTAAAGAAAGGGTATGTGTTAATGAGGCATATAATTAGATGAAAGGCCGGCGCATAATGGTGGTATGAGTATACGCACGTATATTAGGCTTGCATACTCGATAAAGGCAAGTGAGCAACAATAGGCGGGCAAAGTGCGCCCGCTGCGCGTAGGGATGTGCGCGAGCGGTCAATAAAGTATCGATATTTCGCAAGTCGCGTCGTGACGCAGCAATGCGATTGATGAGCTCAACGATGAAGCATTCGATATCTCGAGCCGGCGGATCACGCGTGGTAACATTCCTCCATACGCGATGCTATCAGGTAACATTGTTTGATTTTGTTTGGAGATTTAATCGGGTGTTTTTTCGAATCGATACTTATCTAAAAGCGTCTTGATGCCGTTTTAATAGCGCAATGATTTGTTTCTGATTGCTCGGGGACGCGGCTCGCATACGTTCCCAACTTATCCTATTTCGGCTGTGATTGATGATTTACAAGTGCATCTTAAGTCAAATTCGAAAATAATGCCGACTGTGGCAGTGCCGCGGCCGCTAATAACGCTCTGTGATGGATTATTCGTTTGTAATTTTCAAGTGATTTGCTTTGGGCATACAACTTAGATGCGTCATTAGATACAGCGATCTACGTCACGTTACCGCGAAAATCTACCAGCATCATGATAAAATCCCAGGAGATAAGACTTCACAGAATTCAATCTCGGTAATCTTTTATGACAATTTCTTTGAAAGCAAAGAAACGAACAAACAAACTGCAACAATAGGCTAGTTTCTCATCTCATCTCATCCGTCATGTTTAATATCAAAAAATATTGGACACCTATATTTTTATTTGTCAATCTAACAAATAATTACATAGTTATGGTGCGTTGAAGTTCCGCACGACGTCACAACGTGCGGCACTTTTATGCACGCATTGACGTCACGGGCCTCTTCTTATGAACTTTGGCGCGCTTTATCTCTTTAAATTTTCATTAGTTTGAAAAAGTGAAAAAATACGTGTAGAGTATTTTTTGATAAGTTAACTGACGGACTAATTAAAACTCTTGCTTTTTGACCCAGGAAACATCCCTATTTAGATTACAAAACTAAATTGGTAATCCAAAGTACCAGGGCAGCATAAACCCAAGGAGTTCCAGTGACAAGCAGTAGCGCCACTCGGTGCGCCGGCGCAGGCCGTTGACACAGCAGATAACCCGTGTTTGAAGAGGAACACTTGCCACCAGGCTCTGTTTGAGTAGGGGATATAAAACTCTTATAGGTTGACGACAAATTTTGAGCAAATACGGAGCAGGATACTGGGGACCCTTTTGGAAAACATTGATAAAGTTTAAACAGTGAATTGGGTTTGGTGAATGAGTCCAATTGAAAAAAACGCACTTATAGGAAATGAGGAATCAAATAAGATTAAAGTTAACCATTACTGTGAGTGTGAAAAGTAAACAAAAGCTTGTAATGAAATTCAAAACTTATTGCTGAAGGTCTCTTATAACGCCAATCATATAGGTACTTATCAACTTCACAAATAAGAAATCAATAGTTCAAAATTACTTTTGACAAGCATTACTTTTCTAGATCATACTCGTAAATGACTAATAACTCTAAATTACGATATTCATCTCAAAGATAGCCTTGATTTTAAGCTGTCACCCTAAAACCTGTCTCATAACTTTTCAATTCAGTAAGCTTAGCTGTCAAGCCACTGCATTCGGAACTGTAGCAGTTATCAGATACTAATGACTGCAGTCTGTTTGCCGACTACCGCTGCCAGCGACACTGTTTGAGGAGTTTAACACTCAAAAGGCTGTGACAATCCAAACACAGATGCGACGCGCGACGGGCGCAAACAGACCCCGGGCGCGTAACCAATCCGGGACGGGTCAATAATACCCACTGTTACCACAAAACCATCGGCTGTTTACATTTGATACTCTTAGGGCACATTACAGATATTTGTCCAACACCAAGTTCAACGCTCTTGAGAAACAGCGCACTGCAAGGGCGTATTTTTGGACCAACACTTCAACATGTTAAAAAAGCATTCAAGATAAAAATGACGTTGATATCACAAAGAGGCCTAATTGAGCGCAGGGAAATAAACGAGGCACAAAAGCCAGTGACGTAACCGCTGACACATTGCAAGCGAGCAATCTCCATTACCCTGCAGATATCCAAGTGTTGAATGCACCGTTCACAATAACGCATCGGCAAATACGCACAGACCTGTCAGTTGGCCACAACGGAGCCTCCGGCGAAGAAAAACACGACAATCTCCCATCCACGCATTACTTGAGGTCAAAATTGTCATAAAAAGCCAACTGAAATTAAGTGTAACAAGTAAAAACATATGGCTGCACACGACTACGAGTTTCTTATGAATATTTCACAAAAGATCATTCTGGAATTTTAATTGAATTGAAGTAAATTACTCGCGTGGCCGCTCAAAAGACTCATTGAAAACCCGATTGGGGGGACTTTGAATACATTATTATTAAATACGAGTAATTTGCGTCTTGTAAAATTATAAGTTTTTTTCACGAAAGCACCGATATAAAATACCATTATTGCAGTGAGTGTTGACAGGGCGTTATTAAAGCCCTCAACTTGGATATTTTGATGTTAAATTAATTCGAAAAATTTATCGGTGTTAATAATGTGACTCGTTTCGTCTGTGATCATCGATTTGTCACATTTAATAAGTTACTCGAGCAACTGGAGCGTCGGAGGCTCGGGGTTAAAGTTAAACATCTGCAGCAGCGTGCGCAGTGGCACCACATGTCATCTTTGGGACAAAAACGTCATATAATTTACGTATTTTCGACGCAAGTTTGCTTTGGGCCCGGATGTCGTCGGTTGTTTGGGCTCCTTATCTGGCGAAGGTTGGTTTAGGAGAGCATCAATGGCGCTTATCAGCCCAGCGCAGGTAATCTGACATCTTAGTTTATGGCGTCACCTCCTGCTACTGTTTTGACTCTCATTCCCTACTTGAATGCCAGGCATATTCCGGGAGATAACACAGCGCTAGCGCACAAATTGGCTCCGTTTGTATCAATGATGGAGTTGAATTGAATCACAGAAAGTCTTTGATGCATGTCAAAACGGTCGAGTTGTAACAAATTTAATTCTTGGACAAAGTCAAACATCGAGTCGCGTCGCCCACTGCCGCGATTCGTAATGCCTTAGATTTTATTTGTTAAAAATCGGTTAAGTATCCGTGTCGAACGGCGGCGGTGGGTGGCCGCCATGTTGCTTTTATTATTTCACTTTTTGTCCGAGCTAGCCGCGGGAGGCGCACGGTACGATTCAGCTTTTTATGAGTGACAATATATATGTTTTTTTAATCCCTTATATTGTTATTCCGAGAAATATTTCTCGTTTACCTGTGGTTAATTTTAGACAGCTCTTTAACTAATCAAATCGTAAATTATTTGGGCGCTCGAGAGCGAACTGTAAAGTGTTCACCATTTTATGGCATATTAAACTGATCTTGGAATTTTATTTATCTTTCGTGGAATGTAATAAACTGGGGGATACTTACTAATGAGTCGACCTCTGGGTCTGCTATGTAATAAGGTTTTTCTTGACGAATCTGAAAACAAAGAGAGGTCGTTTTAGTATACATTGAAACGATTAGATGGTTAAATAAATGTTACGAGCAATTAGTAGGAGGCATAGTGTTTTGAATATAATGACGAGAGTAGCGGCCGGATTAATGACGGTTGAAACATTCTGGTGTTAAAAAAGTACAATTTATTTGATCCTTATCCCGCTGGGATAAGATACAAAACGGTGTGCATTATTTGGCACCTGACTGTACGCGTTAATAAAATGCTCGCTCGGTTGGTTGCGCGCGCGCTGTCACAGACTATCCATCGCAGACTCGCTTTTTGCGAACGATTTCGTTAATGTTCAATTAACTGCTCATAACACCTTATTTAAATGCATTAAAAATAACATTCATTTGTATTTACAGAAATAATTAAAACAATATTTCTGTTTATGTTTCGTTACTTTCCCTTTTTTCACAAGGATTAATTATAATTAACACACCGATATCCTCATTACAATAAATTAGCATAGTTATAAAGTTTTCGTACGTGTTATAAATTATAGTCAGCACAATGTGACGCTCTACATTTATGTTGACAGCAAAGTTTCCATTATGAACAAAAATAGGCATAATATCAGCATAAACAATCGGTATCTTATCCATAAAATCTTTTAAACCATTTGTAGCTTCTGTTCGTTACTCTTTGGCCTGACTTGAGAAACGATTTTTTTCGACATTTAAACTTGACCGGAATTGCGATAGTATCATGCGTACTACCCGCTGGGTTCGGATTTTTTATTTTTACAACCGGTATATTGACACTAGAAGCATTCATTACTTAGTTTCAGCTTGTTCCATTTTAGATATTGTTAATTACGTGTATCTGACAGTGGGATCGCTGTAGAAATATGAGCGCAGAACAATGTAGAGTCGGGTGTACGATGATGGATCCGCTAGATGCGAGCCAGATTAGTGTAGGTAGTGACTTTTGAACGCTTTATGCAAATGGACCTTCTGTTACAGTTACTTATCTTTTCGATTTGACCTCTATTGGTTCATGTGTTGTATAGTTAACCATTTCAGATGATGCAATCAGAGCTTGGGGGATTAATAATCTGAGATAACTGACGAATATAAATGAAAATAGAGCAATATTTGTAGAGTATACAGTATTGACCAACTTCATCATCATCATTTCAGCCAAAGGACGTCCACTGCTGAACATAGGCCTCCCCCAACGTTTTCTACGTTGATCGGTTAGTAGCGGCCTGCGTCCAGCGCCTTTCTGCTACCTTTATGATGATTGGCCAACTTAAAAAGCTTTGAACTATTGACTGAATTTCAATGCAGTTCAAGGCATTTTTTTTAAATTTATATTTGTAAACTCCGGCAGGTCAGTATTATGATAACTAATTACTGAGCAGTCAGCCAAGCTGTATGCTCGTTGCTGCTCATTTAATCCGGCCACTATCAAAGATGTAGAAAAAAGGTCGTAAAAATCTTTTAGATGAGATAAAAATCTAACGCCGTCCATCAAGAGACGACGCGTTAGGCTGTGCGCAGACGCAGGTCGTCCACAGACAACGGCAGGTCGAGCTTAATACTGTAGCCCCTTGTGTTATTTTAATAGGAACCATTTTGCGACAAAAGTGTATAGTCTGCCGTCTCTACATAAATACACATCTATAAGCAAGTCGCGTACAAATAACGGCACGTCAAGCTAAATAAGCTATGATTTCTTAAGTAGTTGTATTAGGAGACATTTTGCTACAAAAATGTAAAGTCTGATGAGCTGCCGTCTAGATATGTAATACGCATTTATAGGTAAGATTAGTTCGCAAGAATATTTTTTGATTCTGGTCACTCAGATTTTTATAGCTTGACTCCTAATTGATAGATGATAATCAATGTAAGCTTGATTAAAAATACTAATAAAAATAATAATACGCTTGTCGTCAAGTCATTGAGATTAAAATCAAATTTCAAAGTACATATCAGTAATTATAATTATCGTGTTTAATGTCTTACAAGATGCTCGGTCAAGCGAGACTTGATATTTTTAATTAGGTTAAAATTAAACCAATTCATGATTCATAGAGAAATGTCAACTTAAAATTACCTTTTTTATACTGTGTAGCAAATTTTTTAGAGAAAATAGTTAGCTAAAGTTCAGCGAAAACTTTTAGGCTGGGTTGCACGATCTTTCTTTAACTTTGAGAAACGTCAAAAACCTGTCAAACTCCATACGAAAAATACCCGTTATCGTTAAAGTTACGGTCAAAGTTAGGTGGTGCAACTCAGACTAAATAGGCAACTTTAGCTACTGTCAAAGTTGCCTCGTCTGCGGCTGCCCTAATCTTCTTTCTGCAGTCAGTTAGAGATGAGTTATGACTGCAGCGAGTGCAAACAAATTAATTTGACAAAAACAAGCCCGCTATTAAGAGACAATGGCTAGTGGCGCGAATTACTACTTGTGAGTCCAAAAAGAACACACATTTGGCGCCAAAACTTTTGTTCTTTTCTTTCCGATTAAACCGGTGGCATTATTTTTTTTTAAAACGTCTAATGGCATTTAGTTTTATGGTAATTTAAAATGTCTAATGTAATACTCTATAATTATTTCGATCACGAATATCGATGATAAAATTACTAATTATAACACATACCGTTTACATTATTTTAAATATCGAAATAAAAATACCGCCGTCGGCGTTCGCTATCTGTATTTTAACGGTTTTTTACGTCATACTTACGATATTAGATACATTTATTTTTCCCCAGTGTAAGGTCATCAGCTGATTTCGTTAAATACCATCGCTGCCGTACATCAGTAAGAAAACGTTTTTAATGCACTACAATATGCATCTTCACGCTAATAACAACTTTATTGGGTTATAATAAAACTTAAATTAGTCCTTCACGGTATGAATGCATTAAAATGTATGGATTCGATTAATATCTCGAAGCCATAAATGTCCTACGACGTTGATTAAAGAATAATTGACGTTTAGGTAAAAGAGCAGTTTTAGAGCAGGATAGAAAACTTTCGTTTTAATTTCTAATTTATTCATAGGCAGTTTAAGAGATACCGTGCAATGACGCAAATCTAATGTTGCGGATTGAATTAAATCTGTCATTTGTCAACCTGTCAAGGTGACACATAGTTTTGTCACAAGTGGAGTTATAGATGACCCACGCTGAACTGTCCCACCAAACTCAATGACAGGGGGGCGCTACCATCGTTCAACTATATGGTTTCCAACATGGCAAAAATCGGAACCAGCGATCCGGTATTGACGGTGGCGCCCCACTGTTTTAATGTCATTGATAGGACAGTTCAGTATTTTGGAACTATACTACGCTTTAAAGTATGGGAGCGTCATGGGAGGGAGTTTTGTGTGTGACGGTCAAACGTCAGTGAGACTTCAGATTTGTATGCTCGGTCATGTCATAATATGTCAATGTTACCCCTCCCGTGCCGTTCCCATGCCTCAGGCACTGACTGAGTTAATTATATACCTATTAATACAGATAAGTCACAGCTACGAAATTAGCTTGCAAAAAACCAGAAGCAACAAAACCATTGCATTTTGAATAACGTAAATCCTCGTTACAAAAAACCCAACTCCAAATATGGGAACAAACTTCGTCTATTCCAACTTCGTGTATAAATCATGTCGGAGTTCCAATTTTACTAATGTTTTGGCTAGCGACTTGTACAAAGTTGTTGTATTAGTGGCCCACTGGGCGAGGTTATAAAAACACCGGTCAAAATAATGATTGTGACTGCCTACACGGTGTATAGGGCAAATAAGGCTGTGCACAGACGAGTCTTCCAGTGACTTGGACCATTTTTAGCATTACCCACCACGGGCCAAGTCGCACCTTCAATGTTTTATTAGTAAATTAAACACCAAATCAACAAAAATCTACTTCAGAATCTTAGTGGGCCCGGTAGCTGGAAGAAAACATATTAATTAAAATTAACTACCAGCAACCAAGCTAAAAGTGGGCCAAGTCACTGGAAGACTCCACAGACGGTCGAAAAACCAAAACCAATGTATAATATAAATACACCAAGTACAAAATAACGTAATGCATATAGTACACAACTCAGTGCTCACTCAATAAATGATTTATTAATGACTTTTTTTCAATTTTGATCATAATTGCTATTTACGAACGTCAAAAATAATTACCCGCTGCATCGTAATAAATTATCACTTTTACTGACAGCCTTTTATTACAGCTTTGAGATCTGTCATGTCATACGTCAGGAAGGTTTATGTCAATAAAATCAGGTTTATAAACAATAAACTGTTTTTGAGTAAGATTAGTTTTAAAGTTGCGAGTTAAAATTTAACATGACGTTTAAAAGATATTAATGACATAGTATCAAGGGCGTGTGAAACTTTAAGGCTGAGTTGCACCACCTTACTTTAACTTTGAGAAATGTCCGAAATCTGTCAAACTACGTACAGAAAACACCGGTTATTGTTAAAGTTACGATTAAAATAGGATGGTGCAACTCAGCCTAAGAAGTTCTTCTGGATAGCCTTATTTATGAGAATTTTTATTGACTTTATTGGATTTTAATTAAGTTAATGCCTACTTCAAAATAAACGAACGCCGTTAAGATATGCAGTAGTCTGTGTAGAGCCTAATGACAGCCTACACTGGCACATAAAAATGGAATCGGAGGGCGCTGGAGTCCATCCCGCCCACTTCGTAATGGGCATTACACCGGCGATCATTTGATGCAACGATTGTTTTGTATCGGCGGTGTAACTCGATGCACAGTGGGCAGGACACTTTACTTTATGGCATTGAGTTATCAATGCTTTATGGGCCTAATTTTGTTCTATTTTAAGAACCTTACGCTACTATTTTTTATCTTGTAAAATACAAATAGGAAAGTATTTTTTTTTAATTCATTAACGGAGAATTTCACTTTCGAAAAATATAAAATTAACAAACTGCTACTGTACGATCGCGATAGACAGCTACTTCTTTTACGACCAAAATATAATTATTTAAAT